ATTTATTTATTTATTTCCAAGGTAAGCAAAATTGGTATTTCAGTTTATTTGATCTGTTTAAAATCTTGAGGATGTTTAAGTTTGCTTGTTTTCAGCACCTGGGCAGGGGATGAACAGTTTTACTTTCAAAAAATTGTAACCTGAAATCCCTTTGCCCAATATCTCCCAAATTTGTCACATAGCAGGAGTAGACTGTCTTCTACATCTATACCAAATTTAGTTCTGATCTAAAGTCCAGTTACAAAGCTACATTTTTTTGTTTGTACTGCCCCCATTTTTGGAATTGCCTTGTAGAATGTTGATTTACTCTGGCCAGCATAACATCTATGCACTCTCGTGCAATAATGCCGCCTAGAGTGGTCTTTTAGGCCAGATGGGTGGGGTATAAAATAAATGCAAAAAATACCAGGTGCAGTTGTGTCACTGTGAGGCATAACACACTAAGCCACTATAATGTACTATTGTAGTACCTCATGATATTCTCACTATATTTTGCTAGTCCCTATAAGAGACAACGAGGAATGGAATAGGCACAATAGACACTGCTAGCAGGACATGGCCACTAGACATGCCCATCTGAACATCAATTGAAGATTGATCTCATGCACATCAAATCAGTTCTGCTGTTCAACAGTGCTCCCAGTGTTTCTAGGTATAAAGTGCTCAGACGTGCTTTACCAGTCTGTCATGCTCTGGAACCGTGCAACTTCCCCAGGCCACACAGATGGCAGGGCACATAGCACCATTAGCCACACCTGTTCCAGGTAACTTTAGCTGGCCTCTCTCCCAGAGGTAGAATGAGGATTAAACCCCCAGCACCTGGCTTGATAGGCAGGTGCTCCAAGCCACTGAGCTATAGCAGCACGTGGACATAAGGTCATATAAAATAAAAGCCAAGGTCCAGGCACAGCCCATAAATTCAGCATAAGCTCTCAGTAGAATATCGTCCATTGTTATGTTCCCAGCAAAAAGAATTCAGTAGCAGATGGTGCCAAAGAAATCTGCCTGTCAAAGTAGCTAATGGTATACTAGATGATCTGAACTGCTATGAGTTGGGTTGCTGTACACCTGCTAACACATTTGAGACATTTCATATTCCCCAGGTGCATGTCACTCTGCAGTAGAGTGCCCTTTACCTGACAAGAATAAAGCATGTTGCAATTACAATATGTAGGATGACATTCCATTTAGAAGCACTCCTGCTGCCCGCAATTTTTTTATTTCAGTGACAGGAAAACTTGCCCATGAGCTTGATTTATCCTAGCCAGGCCACTGGATAAATGAGCATTTAAAAGCAATGTTTCCTCCTGTCTGACTTAAGTCAATATTTCTGAAATAAGTGTCCTTAACAGAGGTTACATGTCTTTTTTTTAACAGTTCCTTAATTCTGTTCGTCTCTGGGATTTTATTGAAGACCGAGAAACCAGGACACTACCAGTTGCCACTGGCATCGATGATGTAGCTGAGATTGGAGAGCTTTTTATGAATCTTTCTGGAACAGATGCTGGATCTACTGCTCCTCCCTAGAATGCCATAAGATTGCTTCCATCTTTTCTGTAGTGCTTCTTCTGTTTTTTAAATAACTTTGTACTGTTTACCATAATATTAGAATTACTGTGCTGTGGAGATTGAGATCATGGTGAAATCTAAAACAAGTCTGTCACTGTAGAGAAAAGACATTGAAGCATAATAAAGAGTGCTTGAATAAAAATTATAGATACCAACACAGATAAAAGATTTTCCTTTTTTATGCAGTGCACCAATGGTTTCTTTAAGGGGAAACTTTCTGGTTTTATTTTTAAAAGCTTGCTTTTTTCATTAGGTAGGCCGGTTAAAGACAAAATACTGAATACTTTCCATCATGAGGCAGAACAAATGTCTAATCAGGAAGGTAAGTGTACCTTTGCAGTATCCATATTTTATCAAGATCTGGAGTAGTGCTCTTAACCAAATATTAATGAAAATTGGGCACTGGTGACAGATTTATTAAGCAATATGGATAGGGTGTTGTAGTGGATAGCGTGTTAGACAAGGACTTGGAAAACCTGGGTTCATACCTTGTTTTGGCCATGAATTTTACTGGAGGTGTGTGGTGAGGATGAACCACTCATTGAACATTCCTCATGCCAAAAAAAAAAAACATATTTGGGACACTAGAACTCAGAAGTAGCTTGACAACATGTGACAACCAAGAAATATTTAGCCAGTTACCAAGGAATATTTGGCCAGAGCCACTGGAACCCATCATAGGCATATTGATGACAATGCATAGCATCATAAAGCCACTGAATGGTATGGGATACCAGATGGAACCCTGAAGGGGGCCATATAGCATAAATGTTGTAGACAAATTAAAGAGCCAGCACTTCCTCATGAATTTGGCCCTTGAAGAAATGTGGAATCAACCAACAAGCTTTTACTGAGGGATACCACGATTTGTGTTATCGGAAATCCAGAAAATGGGTAGAATGATACACTCATTGTGGCCAACAATTACATTCATTCAAAATCTCCAGTTGCCAGGCAACCATGTGTTTAAATGAACCCTTAAGTACCTTGCTCAGGAAATACAAAAAAAATGCCTAGTAATTGTTAGGATCAACTGCAAGGATGTGCATCTTGGTGGAACGGAATGTTACTAGAAGTATGGAAACAGCAGCTTATCACTGACACTGATGTAGCAAACTGGCTATCAGGCATGCCACCTTTTGGGCAGACACTTTATTTATCACTGTATTAAAAATGTAAGTTTGCCTCAGTTTAAAGTCTCCAGGTGTCCACTTACTTAAAATTTCTTTGTTTCCAAGCCAGAATGTCTTCAATTTCTTCAGGCTACTGGGATTTGGGACGAGGGGACTTGACCAAAGTATCCTAAAACTACACAGGAACAGCATCCACCCCTAGCAGTTGATCTCCGATTCATTTTTAAAATAAATTTTGCCATCTTGGTAGAATGGAATGATAACTGGCAGAAAACCGCAACTTTCCATTGCTAACGAGGCAAGGATTTTAAGGTTCGGTGCATTTGCAGAGTAACTTAGCCACCTTCTTACATAGATGGGTTTACATTTCAGATCGAGTTTCTGCTGTTAACCACACAGTTTCTTTAACTGTCCTCTCTGGCATGTCTGTGACTTGGTACTGTAGAGGGGATACTAAAAGCTTAAGCAAGCAGTAATTTTAACTTGGATAGGAGCTAGTAGGGTTTCCTGGAAGGCAGAACAGACTTTCCCTAGTGAACTTCTGCTAACTCTTCAAGTTCTTAAATTATACCTCCAGTTTCCAAGGTCTCAAACAAATGCTAATGTTAGTGTAGGCCTAGGCACTCACTCCCATTGAGGACAGAAAAAAAAAATTAAATAAGGTAATTCTGGTGACAGAGATCATTCCTTCATCTTGGAATGACAATTCCTTCTGAAACACAAGGGCTGTCAAAGGCCCAAGAGTGTGGGTACATGCATACCAAGGGGCCACTGGAAGTTGATTAACCCTCGTTGACTACCTAGATGTCTGTTCCTGAAATACCATGAGTGACATGGCAGATTTTCCCTTATCACAGAGCCACCCACTGCCCAAATGGCAAAATCAGTAGCTAACAGAAATAGGTTGTCCCAATTCAAAATATCTCAACTCCCTCCCCTTGACACACGAGGAGGGTGGATGTGGTACTCCCAATCAAATTATCAGCCAGACCCAGCAGGGTCTCAGTTGAGTCTGGGAAGTTCACCATTCTCAGAGTAGCCCTCTCTCTATATATATCAGTAGGGAGCACTATCCTAAGGGAAATTTCTCTGGCCGCCTCATGGAATTATGAAAACAAATTCAGTAGTTACAATTTATCATTGAACATGGAATATCTAGACGTTCACAGAGGAAATGGCTACATCTGATGCATAGCATTACAGGAATATTCTAGGATTAAGGAAAAGATTCAAGAAACATGGAAAACCTTAATTTTGTAAGTTGAGACACTGTTATCTCAAATAATGTCCTTACACCATCTTTCAGCCCCAATCTTCCTTCTCCTCTGGCATTCAGGGCCACACTGTGACAACAAAGGAACCCTAAGTTCAGCCTTTAGTTCATAAGAGCTGAGCACTGTTCAGGAAACATACTGGAAGTAACTCATTTATAGGATTCTCATAAACTGGAGGTGACTTGGGGGCACATAACTATCCCATTAAAATGTCGTCTGTGATGATTGCACCTTTGAAATGCAACAAGTCATTCCACTAGCGTTCTCAGCACATTTGTTCTTGTTTTGGGCAGAAAGACAGTCTTCAATGGAAGTGAACTTTGCTTCTATAAAATGTGTGTTGGGACTTAAGACATATCAGCTAAATTCTCTTGCTTAGTGCAGGAGTATAGATAAAATCAAAAAATAAGAAAATGAACAAATAGAAAAGAAAACATGGTGGCACCTTAAGAACTAACACGGCTACCTCTTCTACAACTCAGCAGATTGAACTAGTGTAGGCAACAGGATCACAACTATCTTGTTTGGACAACTCAGTAAACCGAAAGAAAGTAAAATATGTAGCCATGGTTGGTATCAGCTATTAAGACATTAAAACTCTTGACAGAAACAAATGTTTAAAAATTAAAATTGAAGTACGAAACTTTAAGTTCTGAGCAAGTCAGTTCTTTAAGGATGTTTTTCCACTGAAGCATCAGAACTTTTGAGCAGCTTTTAGTAGAGTTGTGAGGTCAGAGCTATGTAATAATGACAGGATGTGACACTAGGGAAAGTTATTCTCCAAGAAATAGAAGACGTCTATTATGACTTGTCTATTAAAGCATTTCAGCCCCACAAGTGATGCATTTCTTGAACAGCTTTGGAGCCATAAGGAAATAAAAGCACTAATGTATGGACTGAAAAATGACCAACAAAGACATGAAGTAAAGCCAAACCTTTAGTGGGGGAGAAACTTTTTTTAACTCTTTTGTGAGAAGACTCCTGACACTGTTGCTAACCTGGCAGATTAAGAGGATCTGAGAACTAGAGAGAACATGTTAGAGAGTGCAGTGAGAGGAGTAGCAAACATGCCAGAAGAATAAGCTCCCAAATGTTACGAAGACACAAGACATTCCATGTGTGTGACTCACACAGAAACCACAAAGAGCCACCCATTACAGATAAGCCAACTATTTCTTTTCAAACCCCACCCCCTGCTATTTCTGTTTCTTGTGTGAATACATGGATGCAGAAAACAAACCACAAGAAAATTCAGCTACTTTTCACTTCATGTCCAGATGAAAACCAATAGAAGGATGTATATTTCATTCCATTCTGTTTCTATATGTCTGAGGAAGTGGACCAGTCCATGAAAGTTTACATTAAAATATAATAGTCTTTAAGGTGCCACGTGTTTTTGTCTTTGTTTGGTTTCTTTGGATTTTGCCCAGTACAAAAAGATTTTGATGCAGTAACAATAAAATACTGAAGGAGTCAGTTAAACTATCTTTTACATACAATTGGTCTTGAAACTTTGTAAGTACACATGTTCATTTCATTTCTAGTGTCAAACAGCACCATCCTATACCACCTAAGTATCAGGAAGTTAACAAACCTAATTCTACACAGGATCAGAATTATTTTCTCCTTCACCATGTTCTCAAAAGTAAGTCAGGAAGAGAAAGCCCTATAAACTGAACAGTACAGAAATTACTAAACCAGGACACAAGCATCAAGTGCTTAGTCATGTAAGTTACAATAGTGCAACAATAGGGTTAAAATATCCAATGCCACAGAGTCCAGCACAGCTGTGATGGCTCCT